GCATTGTTGGTGTTGCTCATCAAAAGCTACTCTGCAGAAAGTACAAGGACAGACCACCATGCGGATGGAGCCGTGCGTAACCTACGCAAACGGGTCGCAGTCTCGGGGGACAAGGTCAGTCGGCATACGATGGCTCACAAAGACGAAGTCCCGCAGCCTACTGTGGTAAGTGACAACCAGGATCTTGACAGCTCATGAGCAGCCATCTCTGCCCAGAGAGGGCAAAACATTTTTTAAGAGTTAAAATATAAGATGGTACCACCCCAAATATATAAGGAAGGTTTAGGGACACCCCACACCAGCTCAAGGACCTTAACCAGTGGGAGTTCTGACAACATTAAACATCACTGGAAGAAGGCTTTCTAAAGGCTCACGAGATCTCCTCGCCAGCTCAGAAAAGGTAATTAAACAGACTAAACAGGTGCAGGAGGGAGAGCGGGCATACGTACACCCACGAATGCACACAGGTCTGTCGGGGGATATTTGGACATGAGCATTAGCCCTTGCTGCGTGATGTGGTGGTTCATACTTCGTAGACACAGTTCTTCACCTTGACAGAATGAGTCGCTGGACTTAGGGCATCAGGGCCATACTCAGGGGACACCAGTCAATTGCATACCCGCGCCCACAAAGACGATGCTCTCTCTCACTTTGGTGAGTAGCCTAAAAGCTCATAAGAGGCCAGCTCTGGTGCAAATAACTGCCCTCTCTGTATCAGGAGAAGAAGAGTGATGGAAAACAAAGGCCCACGGAAATGTTCGTTCAGCGCATGGGTAGATGGCACAAACAGTCCCTCGACCCTGTGACCAGATGAACCGAATGGCTACCTGGCAACCAGGACCACCTGGGAGAAAGACACAGGATGAAACTCAAAATCATCAAAGCTAGAGAATAGTGGAGCCCCTAAGACTATGTCCCTGCATCATCCCTCAGGTCTGAAACTGCCTTCATCCCATGGCTCAGCTTTCATTCAAATAATAGACAGGTCTGTGAGGGGGACAGTAACACTAGTGAGGGGCACCCACCTGGGAATCACCAGCCACCCGAGAGCCAAGGGGCCCCGTGTGCCCGTGGACAAGGAGAGGAGTGGAGGTGGGCCGCCAGGGCGGGGCTGGGCAGTGAGGAGCGC